CAAAAGTTCAAGCCCAAATTTTTTTTTTTAAATGATAAAAATCCCTCTGATATAAGCAGAATGCTTCACCATTTTGTAGCAATATTTTATAGAGCTACCTGCAAAACATTTTCCCCATTTTATTTACCATCACATTGACGAGGCCCGAATGAATTAATTTTCCTGCCCTTATACAAATCTCTACTTTGTAGAGTGCCTTTAAAACTGTAAACTTTGTCTCCACTTCTCACACACATTTTGGTTTTGTCTTAACCAAAGAGGAAGAGGTCTAGTGAAATAACGCTTACAATACAACATTTAAAAGATTACAAAGATGGGACATAAGTCTCTTCAGAGGTTCATCATTTGTAAATTGTGCAGAAAGCGCTCTCAGTTGAGGATTTTACAATAATAAATAAATACAATGTAAAAGGCAAACGTCATAGCTTGGTGACTGCATGAAGTCAGAAATAAGGTTGTAGCCTCTGATACTGTTATCAGAAGAAACAACCCCAAGCCTACGTGCTCCTCCCCTGACTTGTTTTTAAGTTCAAAGCTGCCATATTCTTCTCCTAAACAGGCTGGTTTTCAATCACATTAAATAAACTCTCCACATTTTTAGAGGAGCGTTCACAACTGACTGAAATCTTTTTTTAGTGAAACAGTTTTTTATCTAGTCTTGGTTCATTGTTACTGGTGAGCATGGGCAAGTGTTTGTCATACTGAAACTCTCCCCAGCTTCAGGAGACATTGTCTCACTTATCACGTTTTGAATGGGTTATCGGAACTAGTAAATAAATGACATTAACAAAACCAGTGGGTAGATTGCGTGCATGGTGATATTTTGGAACAGCAATTGCAAATTTTTTTTGTTGATCATCACATTCCTAAAGAATTATTTGTTCTGTTCTTATGACATTTTACTTTTACACAAGCCGTAACCCCAGATACTTTACAGTGTTAAATAATACAAGAGGGTAGACGAGAGACCTGAGAAATGACTGAAAACAGAGGCATTATGATGACTAAATTCCTTAATGCAGAGGGACTAGGGGGAAATTAAAAGGCACAGCTGAAGCGGAAGAGGGTATGATTTAACAGGAGATTTGAAGAAAAGAGAGTTAAATGGTTCAGGGGAACTTTGCAATGGCCCAAATACTCTACCACCATATCAATACCACACACACAAGCACATGGGGCCCTTGTCAAAGGAACAGGCCCTATGCCATTTGTTTTTGACAAACTGTAACATACCAACATAAAAATAATACAGATCTACCTACCTTCCCTTTTGACAACTGTCCCATGTCTACTATGACCCAGAAAGGGGTTCTTCTTTATGTAAGGAGGGAAACCAATGAACTTTTGAAGCATTGTCCTGAAACTATTGGCAGAAACAGTAATGCACAACTGTTGAATAAAAGAGGATGCATCATTCGAACAGGCTTATTGGTTAAAGATGCGAGCACCTAAAAGTCCCTTGAACCAGACCTCAGCACCACCCGCTATCAAGATGCTCATGAAGAGATGTTATATGGGCAATGTGGGAACTGAAGAAACAACTCAGCCACTGACACAGCATTTGAGACAGAGGAACCGTGTCATGGGACAACAGGGATAACAGCTGATGAATGTGATCACAAGGACAGTGCAGAGGGAGAGAACAAGGCCAAACCGCTGATCCGAGTTTTGTTTGAAACTCCAGCCCCTGCCAAGGACACCCCAAGAGGTTCACATGGAAGGTTGTACAGAGACAAATCACAGGTACGTTGTATGTAAGAATGTAGGCTTAAAAAAAACAAAACAAACAAACCATGAGCTGAAGAGACTTCTTGACACACATAGTAAAAAGGTTTTAAAAGCACATTATAAAAAAGTATGATGATGTCTTATGTATATTTCTTATGTTAAATTATTCAGTAACTGAGTGATGGCTCTTCAGATATCTAGGAGAACCTGGACACCAACAGCCTAAAGGAAAAAATGAAGTGGGCCCAATTTGCTTTTCCCAGGCCCAAAACCAGATGCCCAACAGGCTGCTGGAAGAGAAAGGGACATGTACTATCTAACTTGGAGCAAGCAATTTGGTATTGAGCTGGTGCTAGTCCATAACCCAAAATGCGATGTGCACTCAACTGTACAAGCTGCCATGCACGGAATCACCAACTGCTGTGTGAGAGAGAGGCAATCGCCCAGGTTATGTCATTGATGCCCTTGGCCAGAGCAGCCATGGGTGTGTGAACTGGACTGCAGAAGATGCAAACTCATAAAATCAAACAGATCTATATTAATTTATGCACAGAGAGTGTTTTAAATGTTATCACATTGAAATATGCACTGCAGTGCCTGTTTCTCCCAGGAACATTTAGCTTAGGAGAAAGATGTGGAGAAGGTGGCAGCATTAGAAAAAAAAAAAAAAAAAACACATCAGGAAAGGAGGAGGAGGTGGTGTGGGCTGGGGGCTGTTTCTTCCGATAAGCGTCAGAGGCCACAGTCTTATCTCTGACCTTCACGCAGTCACAAAGCTATGGTTTGTGTCTTAAAATTTTCTTTATTTTTTGTTTAAAACTCTCAATTGAAGGGCTTTATACTGTATCCTGGAATCGAAAGGTTTCTGTAATTTACAAGTGATGAACCTGTTAAGAGGCCTATGTCCCATCTTGGTAAACTTCAGAGAAGTTTTTGTATGTGGCAGTCTAAAAAGTGAACAGACTGTTGGGAATCATTAGGAAAGGGATAGATAATAAGACAGAAACTATATTGCCTCTATATGAATTCATGGTATGCCCACATCTTGAATACTGTGTGCAGACCTGGTTGCCTCATCTCAAAAAAAGATATATTGGAAAAGGTACAGAAAAGGGCAACAAAAAATGATGAAGGGTGTGGAACAGCTTCGGTGTGAGGAGAGATTAATAAGACTGGGACTTTAAGGCTTGGAAAAGAGATGACTAAGAGGGGATATAATAGAGGTCTATAAAATCATGACTGGTGTGGAGAAAGTGAATCATCATCATCATCATCATGTTCCCGTTACGCCTCTGGCGTTTAGGGGCGTGACGAAGCTCCTCCACTCCTGTCTGTTTCTGGCAAGTCTTTCAATGGCTCCCCAGCTGTGCCCCAGGTTTTTCAGCTCGGCTTCCGTAGCTCGTCGCCATGTTGTTTTCGGCGGCCTTGTTTTCACTTGCCTTCAGGTGTCCATCTTATTGCTACTCTGGTGATGGAATCAGTTTCCATCCGAAGCACATGGCCAATCCATCTCCAGCGCCTCCTAGTAATGATGGTGCTCCTATCTTCTTGGCTGCACTGTGTCAATAGATCTTGGTTTGAGATTGTTCTGGGCCAAAAGATACGGAGTATTTTTCTGAGGCAGGTTGTATGGAATGAAGACAGTTCGGACATGTCAGACTTTCTCATTCCCCAGCATTCTGCACTATAAAGTAGTGTTGAAAGTACGCAGGTCTGATAAATCTAGAGTTTGGTTTTGGTGTTGTGAAAGCGAATAAAGAAGTGTTATTTAAACTCCTTCGCAAGACACAAGCATTAGGGGTCACCAAATGAAATGAATACGCAGCAGGTTTAAAACAAACAAAAGAAAGTATTTCTTCACACAACCCACACAATCAACCTGTGGAACTCCTTGCCAGAGGATGTTGAGAAGACCAAGACAATAACATGGTTAAAAAAGAACTAGATAAGTTAATGGAGGATAGGTCTATCAATGGTTATTAGCCAGGATGGGCAGGGATGCAAAACCAAAACCATTTTGGCAAAACTTTAAAAACAAGCTAACATTAAAAAAAAAAAAGATAGGGATAGCAGATCTTGTAAGCATCTCAATGTAATTTTTTATTTCATTAGCCCTCTTCTCCTCTTTGGTAAAGACAAAACAAAAATGTTTGTGAGAGGTGAAGACAGAGGTTACAGTTTTGAAGACACTCAACAATGTCGAGTTGTATATAAGGGCAGGAAAATTAGTTTATTGGGGCTTCGTCGACGTGATGATAAATAGAATGGGGAAAGGTATTTGTTTTGCAGATAGCAATACTTTATAGAGCTACAGAAGTAAAGCTGGTGATGCATTTTGATTATATCACAGGGATTGTAATCATAGAACAAAAATTGGGCTTGAAGTTTTGCACCAGTGTGGCTGCACAGGATAGCCAGTGGCTTTGCACCCCTCCCCTCCTTATTCTTTTTAAGTGTCATGTTTAGTCTCTGCTATTCTCTTAAGGGCCAATGGGTGGGGGAGGGGGGGTCCTAACAAACACGAGTTCGTGTTGCTTTTGAGGTAATTCTGCAAAATCCCACTAAGGCTGGAAAAACTAGGGTTTTGGTTACATTACAGTGCTTGTCATCTCCGTCAGAAGTGACCCGCCTTGCCGTTTTTTTCCTGTATGTATACTCCTTCCGCCTAACCCCTTTGTCAGTGTTACGTGCTGTTTCTGAACCCTGGTGAAAAGCGTTTAGAAAAATTGGGAAAAGAGGTAACGATGGCTCAGGAGTTCGGGGAGAGTTTCTGCAGGACACACATTTAACTCCTGCTCAACCATGACAATTAACAAAGCACGGATACAAAACTGTTTCAATCCAAAAAGATTTCAAACATTTGTTAAAATGTCCCTAAAAATCCAGACCAACTCTTATCCCCATGCTCTGTTCTTTCATGTTACCTTTAAAAGTCTGGGTTATTCTGTGTCTGTGTCTCTTAAGTGTTTCATGATTTTTAATTTTGGTATTTTGATAGACTGAGCAAAATTAAGTTAGTAGGGCAAAATATTTACTGCCAAAGCATTTAAGATACAAACAAAATGTTCTTAAAATAGTATGTATCGCCTGCCTCTCAAATACTAAAATAAAGTTTCCCTAATACTCCATTCCTGCTTTTATATTATTTATTAAATCCATGTTCAATCAATTTAATCACTTTACATCCCAGACCTTAAACACTGAAAGAATTACAGCTTTTCCTTAACAAAAAGAGGGACAAGTAGTAAAAACTGTTATCCACTCTTCATACAAAAAATAGTTTCAACTGTTCCTGCATTTTGTCTCATACATGGGCATATTAGCCAATGCTAATCTTCTCTGTATCGTTCCAATTTTAGTATATGTGCTGCCGAAGCGAGCACATATACTAAAATTGGAACGATACAGAGTTAGGCTGTGTGTATTTTGTATACATTTATGCTGAAAAAACACGTGTGAATGTGTGTGTGAGTGGGTGGGGTGTGAGAGAGAGTGATTGGTCTATAAAATAAAATTTGAATGTATGCTTACTGTAGTTTATAAAAATAGTAAACAATTGGGTTTGAAGGAGGAGGCGATTGATGGTGCTGTATGTTTGGGGTGGGGGAGAAATATCATTCTTATCTCTGATAAAAAGCAAAAAGCAACTCTTTTACATAAAATAGTTTAAACTAGGCCTACATTTTGTCTACATGGGGTGTATTAGCCAATTTTACACCATTAGCTTTTTTGGTTAGGCTGTGTATTTTATATAAAACAATGGTAAAAATATAAAATATGAATGTGCGTGTGATTGAGCAAGTAGGTTATCTATAAAATAACATAAGACTAGTTTGAATGTCTGCGTACAGTGGTTTTTCTATAAGCTATATACAAGTTGGCTTCAATGTATGCTTAAGTGTTTTGGAAAGGAGGGCCAGGAAGGGGGTGAGTGGTGCTGTGTCTGTTTGTTCTCTGGTTTTCCTTGTTTTTAAAATGTATCTGTCCTTCAAAAACTTTACAAAATGTAAGAGGCCCCTAATACAATTTAAGGCAATTTGCAATAAATAGTAAAGGCTATGAAGAAATACACGTCTTTGAAAACAACAAGGAGTCTGGTGGCACCTTAAAGACTAATAGATCTGTTAGTCTTTAAGGTGCCACCAGACTCCTTGTTGTTTTTGTAGATACAGACTAACACGGCTACCCCCTGATATTTTACACGTCTTTGAGTAAATAGGTTTTGTAAATAAAGAAATCTACATGCATGCTCCTTTGGAAGGGTGGGTCCTGCTTCTTCAGATAAGAACTAAAAAAGGAGAAAAAAGGATGCGGGGGGGGGGGGTGACTATGCAAGCATTCTTCTCTGTCAGACAACCTTAGCTTGTCCTTTAACGTTTTATTTTTTATTGCAAAGCTCCTCTGTAAATGCTGGAGGTTTTATACTGTCACCAGGAATCTTAAACTTTGTTCAAACTTTACATGGACTATAGTTCCAGTTTTTTGTTTGCTTGGTTTTGTTTTGTTTTCCTGCATGTTGGGCAATTCATTTAGGCAAATCTTTGCTAAATTTGAGGTGCAACAAAGGCCTGTCTCTCTGTTGCAGAATGATGATTATTCAGGGCACGGCTACACTTGCCGGTGTCGAGCGCTGTGAGTTAAACCCGCCTTGGTAGAGCGCAGTAGGGGAAGCGCTGCAGTCTGTCCACACTGACAGCTGACAACGCACTGGTGTGGCCACATTTGCGGCACTTGCAGCGGCATTGGGAGCAGTGCATTATGGGCAGCTATCCCAGCATGCAAGTGGCTGCAACGTGCTTTTCAAAGGGGGGGATGGGGTGGAGTGTGAGAGGGAGTGTGTTGTGTGTATGTGGGGGGAGAGAGAGTGGGTTTTGGGGGGGCTGAGAGCATGTCAGCATGCTGTCTTGTGAGTTCAGACAGCGGCAGACCACCACCCCCCGCCCGCCTCTCTCTCTCACAGACAGCATTCACAGTAACGGCTTGCATGCCGGCTGTCAGAAACGGAGCTTTGAAAGGGCATTTCCGCATTCCTACAGGAGTTCAAAACAATGACAAGTGGCCACTTGCCTTAAGGGGATTATGGGACGTTTCCGGAGGCCGATCAGAGCGCACTCATCCACACTGACGCCTGGGCGTTGTAGCCAAGGCGCAGAAAACGTTATTCCTCTCGCCGAGGTGGAGAACCAGCAGCGCTGTAGCCGCGGAGTCAGAGCGCTCTACGTGCCTTGCCAGTGCGGACGGGGAGTGAGCTAGTGCTCCCGGGGCTGCTTTAATGCACTGAACTTGCAAATGTAGCCAAGCCCTTAATATTAGACCCAACAAATCCTGCCTCTTGGCAGGGGGCAGGGCCGGCTCCAGGCACCAGCTTCTCAAGCAGGTGCTTGGGGCGGCCGCTCCGGAGAGGGGCGGCAGGTCCGGGTATTCGGCGGCAATTCGGGGGACGGTCCCTCACTCCGCCTGGGAGTGAAGGACCTCCGGCCGAATT